TCACCTCCTTGGGCGCCAGATCAACTTCGAAAACTAGCCCTACCTGTGAGGAGGAAACTAAATTACCCAATGGGTGTTACCTGGGGTGCCTTCATTATGACTATTGCAATCATTACTAATGACAGAGGCCCGTTCTGACAGACCTTACCCTTACCATACCTCGGCCTCTAGCAATACGTCTAAGACAATTTCTATTTTTTATTTTTTATTTTACAAGGAAAACTCAGCTCATTGGAATATGCACTATAACAACTTTGGTTCTGGACAACAACCCGGTTTCCAGCAGGTGACGCTCCCCACCAATAGATGGAGTCTCTACCCAGGTGTTAGTGGTGTCTGCTCTTATCAGCAACACTAACACTGGTAGGGTTAAAAAAAAAAACAAAAAAAAAAACCCTTTGGTTCTGCACAACTTTCAATCACACCGCACGCATTTGTATCAAAAAACTTTGAATCACACCGCACCCCTTTATATCACAGCCTTAGTTCTTTTTTAGAAGATTTTGTTTATTTGTTTGTTTGTTTGTTTGTTTGTTTGTTTGTTTTTTCAAAAAAGTCCATGGTGTTGTAGAGGCCAGTCACTGAGTACACAGTGATCACCTGGAGCAGTAGGCCGTGGGTGTCCTGGAATATGAGACCACCTCCCATCCCATACTCACGTCAATACTCCTAGCGCACCCCCTATCCCACTATCCTACCTCAGTGTGACCAGCACTCAGGACCATTACCCTACCAATGGGCAGGTAACTTGGACCGAACAGCAGTGATAGGCACCAGGGCTGATAGGTTGCCCAGCTCTGGTGGAAGCGGAATTGGACGAGCCTTGTAGAACGGGAACCTCGGATGCCAGGCCCAGATAATCTTTTTTTTTTNACACACACACACACACACACACACACACAAACACACAGTGTCACACTCACATACACATATACATACATACACACACAGACAATTAGTTTATGTTTCTCTCTATGTTCTCGGTATCTTTCTTTCTTATTTGTTTTCTAAGTACTTCTGCCTGTCTAAGTGAAAACCCTTAAGGAGTGCCAAATAGTCGGTCATTCCTCGTTTGGAGTGCCTACAACACTGTTAGGGGACTGCTCAGTTCGGCATGTCCGTCTTTCCTACGGGTGATGACAGGTGTTCGTTTGAGTGATCCCCTATCTCAGCAGGTGATGGGAACCAACAGTTTGTGGGGTGCACTTGCGATGTGAGTAGGTGATGTATTGGATATGTAGACTGCCTTGTCTGTGTTATGCTTCTGTGTTGGATGTGTAGACTGCCAGTGCTCTGCCACTGCCTTGTGTAACTGCCTTGTCTGTGTTCTGCCTCTGTGTTGGATGTGAATACTGCCTTGTCTCTGCTCTGCCGCTACATTGCTTCCCATGTCGCTTGCTTTGCATGTCACCCTTTCTGCTCTGCTGCCTTACCGCCCATCCGCAGCTTGTGCCTTCCGTGTCTTGGTTGCCTTGTTAGTGTTGGCTTGTGCTTCACTACACGTTTGTCGAGCTGCTCGCCTGCTTGCCCTGTTGGCCTTCAGTGTCCTTCACTTGCATGCCTTGTAGTTTGGTTGTCTTGTTGGTGGTGCGTCTTTCATCGGACCTCGACGTCCTCATATCCCCGCATTATCATCATCGCGCTTCATCCGCTCATAGTTGTTCGACTTTCAAACAGGAGGACGAGGAGGAGTAAAAGAGGGTGGCCAGGGTGTCTTGGGAAGCTCAAGGATGCCTTCTATTGTGGATAAGGGAGCTAGTTGTTCCATTTTTATTCTCTCTGATTGGGTGGGTGGTGGAATGATAGGTGTATCGCGGTTTCTGCTTGGCATTTGTGCTCTTTGCATGGAGGTTTTGTGCTCTGTAACTATACTTGTTTTTCTTTGTTGCTGCAGTCGGCATCCAACAGAAAAGTTTCCCGTCATTCTTGACTATTGGCTTTTGTGACTACAAAAGGTCTCATGATTTGTAGTCGATTTTAGGAAAGAAGAAACCACTTTGACCAATGAGCCTAGCTCAGTTGATACGGCCCTTTCGGGAAAAAAAACAACCACCCTACTTTGTAGTGCAGATCAATATTGGAGAATGGTACACCGAGTTGGTGATGTCGGAGGCATCACTAATATGCAACTGATAACATCACATCGTATCCTGCCCAATCAGCCATCTGTTTTCATCCACAACCGTTCTAGGCCATAAAAACGTAGGGGAGTTCTCATGTAGATGCACTCTTACACCCTTTGCGAGGCTTTTCCAGTTCGTGTGCATGTGACACCAGTGTGCATGCAATAGGCATATATGTGTGTGTGAGACGGACATGCAGAGAGAGAGAGAGAGAGAGAGAGAGAGAGAGAGAGAGAGAGAGAGAAAGAGAGGTGAAGTTTTGTCGAGATACATCCACGAAAGTTCAAGTGTGACTATGCCCCAAATTCCCGTGCATGAAAGTTTTTGCAGCGGCCATGCAACAACGACACGATAACGTCTCGATAGGAGCATAAACATCAGTTTTCACCTTTGAACAATATTAACAACTTGCTCTCCCCTTGAGATTAAACCCGAAAGTAGCATATGGGGTGACCTCAACCCCTCCACTTCAACATGGGGGGAGAGGGGGTGTGGGGGAGGGATGGCAGAGCCCCCCCTCCCCCACACTTGAACATGACCGGGAGCATAAACATCAACTTTCACCTTTGAACGTGGCAAAACAATAACTTGCTCTCCCCTCGACATGAAACCCGAAAGTAGCATATGGGGCGACCTCAACCGCCCCACTTCAATATGGAGGGGGAGGGGCTTCGCTTCCACTTCCCCACACTTGAACATGATTGGGAGCATAAACATGAGCTTTCATCTTTGAACACGAAAAAACAACAACTTACTCTCCCCTCGACATAAAACCCCAAAGTAACACTTCCCCCCTTTTCTTCCTCCTCTCTCTCTTTCCTTCACTCCTATGTCGTTCTCTTTCTACTCTCTTGCACTCGCTGATTATAGCCCCAGTGTTTTCTCCGGTAACCTAGAATTTGCACCCTACCAAGGGCCCTACCGGTAGGTAGCTCAATTGGTGTATCCATGAGCTTCTCGGATGCAGACAACACGGAATGGACACTTAACACATGCAATTGATCCTAAACAGTATGCACACACACCCAATATAAAAGAACACCCATCAACCAGCCCTTGGGGATGAAAATATACTTGGAATCTAAACTGGATAAGGGTGTGGGGGCGCCCCCCTTTCTCCACACTTAAACCACTAGTACTTGGCCCAACTATCGACCGGGGAAAAAAAAAAAGTAGAAACGTTTCTAGTCGGATGAATTTTGGCGCTCTTGTACAGGAATGGAATTTTTCTCAAATCGTGGCGCGTTAACAGACACAACTCGAGGAAGTACTGATGATTTAACCATAACCTAAGAAAAGACAAGTTTTATACCCAGACCCAAGCCCAGGCCTGCGCCGTCCCCCAAGCAAAATGAACAACCACAAAAAAACATTCACAACCCCCCTTCCGGGTATAGCAAATAAACCAATTTATACCCAAACCCGGGCTCCACATCAATAGAGGAAAGCCCCTGGCTGCGCCACCACGCTTGGTATGGTCTAATAGTTTTTTTTCCTGTCTTTTGTATGTATGGAGAGTCGTGGAGCGAGGCCCGTTGTTTTTTGTCACACGACTCGCCCAGGATTTCTTACCTTTTTTTTTCGCGCGTAGCGGGCCCTATAGGTAGGAATGAGGAATTCGACACTTTTTGGGGGGGGGGATTTTTTAAATGCCCGTGAATGTTACATTTATTTGTGAAATACCCCTCTGACGGCCTACTTACCCTGATTTGCCCTTGGACCCTCAGAACTTTCCTGCAGGCCCCCGTCAATCAGGGGTGCAACTTTTTGGGATGCCCTTACCGGACCACCGTTGCATTTCACCGGTCGCTGTGCGATATGCCCTCATGTTGGGCATGCATCTTTCCATAATGCCCTCGCATGGGAAATTCGAATTTGGTGCTGCCGCAAAAATGTAGCTGGTTTTTTTTTTTTTTTTTTTTTTTTTTTTTTTTTTTTTTTTTTTTTTTTTTTTTTTTTTTTTTTTTTTTGTGAGAGAGAGAGAGAGAGAGAGAGAGAGAGAGAGAGAGAGAATGCGTGTCTGTGCGCACCCACCGAAAAGATGCAAGGTACGGTTAGGGGCAGATGGAAAATATTTCTGTTGGTATTCAACTGCTATCCGGTAGGGGCATAATGAAAATTTGGGATGGGTACCGGTAGGGGCAAATTGAACATATTTCAGGCCCAAGTGACACCAGGGGTTTTCGAAAACTTCAGTCACTGTCAGAGGGGTAAATCAGGGTAAGTCAGCCGTCTGAGGGGTATTTTGCAAACAAATGCAACTTTCAGGGGCATATTGAAACTTTTTTCTGTTTTTGTTTATAAAAAAAAAAAAGGGGCGACGGTTTTAAGATATCATGATCGGACGTGAACTTGAGGGGCGCAGCGACCGGCGCCAGGCGGCGTCCAAGTTAGTGCTAGCATGCGTTCGCAGCTCCGGTCCACTGCGCAGCGCGTCATCAAGATGTGCTTGTGGAAGCGAAGTCTCCTTGCTCGGCAAAAACCGAGCAACCAACCCGGGCGGGAAGGGAGGGTTGACGCCGCGCGGACCGGCCTATCACATCGTGTTGGATAAGCGAAGTCGTGTACATGCGTTCAAGTGTGAGTCTTAGCGGGCGTGCGCCAGCACTAGGTGCCCGCCATTAACGCGTTCAAGTCAAAGACAACAAGTGGAAGTAAGGAGAGGGAGAAAGGGAGTAGGGAGAGAGAGATAGAAGCATACCAAGATGGAGCCAGGCAACAGAGAAGCGCGACCAGAGGAGAACGAGGTACCACTCTCAGAGGAAGACATGATTAGACTGCTCATTGCGAAGTGCTACGAAGACGGGATATTCCCGGAGAACCTAAGTCATGGGGAGTTTGTAATCGAGAACGGAACTTGGGTCTTCAAAGTTAACGCTCAGATAGACCGGTTAACAACAGCCTGGTTGAAAGAGCGAACGGTGACTATTATTTTTTCAGGGAGAGGCGAGCGACCTATCGATGACGTATCGAGAAGACCTCATCCGAGCGTACGAAAATGGGTGGTTAAGGAAGAAGACGTTCGCTAGGGGCTTCAAACATGGCAGAGTGCACGGAGAAGGAGCGAATGTAATGTCATACGTGGCTAAATCAAGAGAAGTGGCCCAGTGGTTAGTGGCGAAGGCAGACGACACAATAACTATTAAAGGTGTTGAATACAAGATATTATTCAAAGCCTGGATGACCCGGGCGGAGCTCGAGGAGCAGAGGAGAAGAGAAGACGAAACAAAGTTATGGGTGGTTGCGTTACAAGTGCTGATAGTACGAGCTATGTTTCATGTGGGGGATCTTGTTCCACAGTCGATGGGGCCAATTATTCATCGTCACCCCCCGGAGCCAGATGCCACTCGACCGAAGCTAATGAACTTGAAATTCGATCTCGCGAGAGAAGCAGAGGAAAAGTTTGAGGCACTACTCCCAATGAAGCTGAATGATGGAGATCTATACAACGTACAATTCGTCAACAAGAACACCGCATGGTGTACTGGTTGCAGATGGTGGTTTCATACGGAAACGGATGGCTGTCCACGTGCCACGGAAGACGAGACGACAACTCAGGGAGTAGCGGGAGGAGGGAGCCGGAGAATCCAACAAGGAGAAGTGGTGTTTGAGCGCGCCTTCAGATCGACAGTCGGCGATCCTCACAATCCATCAGCCACCAGGGGTGAATCAAGTGCAGCTGCAGAAGCGCGAAGATCGGGAAGCTTCCAGATGACGACACATGCAAACGATCGAAACTTCGTCCCTACAGGAGGGAGGGCGTTGCCACCGGCACATGAGCAGAATGATTTAAGAGAAGTATACCCGGTGGGTGCACTCACTCAGTCGGCGCTGGCAGATATAAGAACAGGCTCATGGGCGTCGATTCCAGGAGCGCCAGACCCGTACTTGTCGGCCATCCTTCAGCATCCGATGACGCAGAGTACGCTCAGCAGGGGTTAGAACCAAGGAATCTGGTCCAATCCAGCAATATGTGGTCTGCAAGGTGTTGCAGCCTACGCATCACCAGGAGGTCATTGGAGCCAAGCACAAGGGTCGTCCGGGTTCTCAAGACCCGAACTCAATAGACAACCTCCAGGAAATGTAGAAAGGGTGGTGGTGGTGGACGATTCAGGGAGAGAGCGGAGTGGAGGATCGAGGAATGACGAGCCAACGGGAAGCTCAACTCTTGAGGGCACCGGAGCATCGTCGGCTGTAAGGCCAGATCCAGAGGGAGCTCATACTCCAAGAACAATTGGAGTGAGCTCGAGAGCAGTGGGAGAACAACACGAGGAGAAGTTGTTGTTGTCTGCAGTATGCACATTGCTAGGGCAAGAACCATACATCCTTGGACTGCTAAATCGGGAGGGCAGGACAATCATCCCTTCCACGCCATTTTGCGGCGTCCTAGCTCCGGAGCTCATTGAAGCAAGGGTTAGGCAAACATATGCAGACAGATTCTGTTTTTGTATTTTTCCTGAAGCCCTTATGCCAAAGCTTTCAATAGATACTGCAGCCAGGAATAGGATCAAATTCTATATTCCGTTCATCGATGCGAGAATCCCTATGACCCATTGGGCAGGCCTTCCCTCGATAGGGTTGACTTGTGTCCCACTCTGATTGCTATTGGTAGTTACGGGAGGGGAGCTGGGGAGCGTCTTGGTGGAGCCAGGGATAGCGGCCTCATTCTTGAGAGCCCTTAATGAACACATGCCACTGGACAGGAACCTGGAGTCAGACTTTATTCCTGGCGTTTTAGCAGAAATCTGGCAGGACACAAGTCCGTCCCAAGCCAGAGAGAGAGGGGAGCAGACTGAAGATCGGCGAACCCAAGATGGGAACGCAGTCATGAGTACCAGGGATGGGGAGGTTTAGAGTAGGCACGTGGAACGTACAGGGTCTTGGGGACACAGGGGGGAAGCATAAAGGTAAGCAGTTAAAGCAGTGGATAGGAGAAAAGCAACTAAATATTTGTTTTATACAGGAGACTAAATTAGCAGAATGGAAGCTAGCGCAACTCACAGATTGGTGGGACGGCCCCCAGCTGTGGTCACCAGCACGGGGTTCTAAGGGGGGCACGACAATCTTGGTGCATAAAAGAGTGGAGGCAGAGCTGGAAGACTACGATTCTGACTTGTGGGGGAGGTGGGTGTGGTTGAAGCTACTCATCGAAGAAGTAGAATTGGTGGTGGCTACGATCTAAGCCCCGAACGACCCGAAGGAAAGACTGCAGTTTGTCAAGTCCCTTCCGTACTGCATACCGAGATCAGAGAATATGATTGTGGGGGGAGATTGGAACCTGGTTAGCACACATGGCCTAGACTCGGAAGCGACAGACATTCTAAGGAATGACAGAGAAGCTTTCTTGCAATGGAGGGAAGCGTGGGGCCTGTCGGACGTGTTTAGAAGGTTGAATCCTACGACAGAGGAGTTTACTTGGATCTCCAGCTTGGCAAGATCAGCTGGAGCAAGGAGAAGGTTGGACTTTTTCCTTACTTCAGAGGAAATTGCACAAAACACGTCGTGGGTTCGCTCACACGCAGCATCACTATCGGACCACAAACCGGTAGTAATGGAATTCTGGCTGGTTAACACATGAGAAAGCAGAGGGAGGGGCCACTTTAGGCTGAACACTGCAAATTTGGAAGACGAGGGGTGAAAAAATTGGACTGTACAACAGCGGAGAGCATGGAAGGTAGCATAGAGGATGTTTGAAGCTCCTAAAGAATGGTTTGACGCAGGGATCTGAATTATATCTGCCAAATTCAAGATCTTCTCCTCGATAGCCGCACTTCAAAGAAATAAGGAGGAAAGGCGGTTGCAGAGCAGGGTGGAGGAGGCGGGAACACGAATGCGGGACCACCCGATATCTAAACTGGCGTGGGCTGAGGAGAGACATCTGAGAATGGGCGAGTGGGAACAACTTCAAGTGCAGAAACACTGCAGGTGGGAGCAAATCCTCAAGGAGAAAGGAGTAGTCACACGGGACAGGATGACAAAGGAGAGCTTCCGAAAGCTGCTACCAAGATCGAAGCTGACACCTATGCGAGAGTTACAATACCCCCATCTGTTGGGCCTGCCAGTGGCCCACTCCAACTCATACTTGTGTGAATATGCAGCAGACTACTTTCGGGACATCCTGGCGACACGAAAGCAGTACTGGGATTGGGAATTAGACTTCACTAAGGAAAGCACCTACTGAAACACCTTAACAGTGAGAGTTTCTGACCAGGGGAGGAGGAATATAGACATGCCAGTAACAACCGAGGAACTCAGAGAAACCATCAGATCTATGGCAAAAGGGAAAGCGCCAGGAGACGATGGATTACCTGTGGAGTTTTATCAGATCTGTTGGGAGGTGCATCTTGACGGGGTCTCAACTGGGCAGTTCGATGACGAAAGGTATGATCACTCTTCTATACAAGAAAAGCGACAGAACCAACATAAGGAACTGGAGGCCTATCTCGCTGCTAAACGTGATCTACAAGATACTGGCTAAAGCGTTGGCACGTAGATTGGGCACGTTGCTACCGGGGTTAGTGGGTAGAGATCAGGGGGCATTCGTGCAGGGAAGGTCTATTTTCGAAAACATAGCCACGGCTATGAAGGCTCTGGAAGTAATTGAGGAGGAAGATCTGGATATCTCTGTTCTAATGATAAACTTAGAAAAAGTCTACAACAGAGTTAACTGGACCTTTGTGATGACTACCCTGAGGGTGTTTGGATTTGGGGAACCGTTTTGTAGATGGGTGAAAGCGTTGTATGCAAAAGCCACAACGGTGGTGCAGGTGAATGGGGTATGTTCTCAAGAGTTTAAGCTAACCAGATCCCTGTGTCAGGGCTGTCCACTAGCACCGTTGTTGTTGTACTGCAACTAGAAGTACTCCTTTGTGCCATCCGTGTTAATCCATCTATCCAGGGTCTGAAACTGGTTGAAGACAAAGAATGCAGAGTGAAGGCGCTCGCTGACGACCTCCTCGCCATCTCAGTGAACAACAGAGAATCAGTGGAAGCACTGCGAGACTGCCTACAAAAGTATGAAGACCTCTCCGAGGCATCCATCAACTGGAGCAAATCAAATTTTTTTCTCCCGAAGGACCACGTGTTCCAGGCCCAATGGGGCATGAGGAGAGTTCCAATGAACGCAGCAGAGAGATTTCTTGGGCTGCTTATAGCTCTGGAAGACTGCTCATCTTCACAGGACCTCTTATTGCAAGAGAGTGCTGTCACGAATTAGAAGTTGGGGAGGGGCACAACACTTATCCTTGATAGGTAGAGCACTGGTTGTTACAGTGTCCGCCTTTTGAATCCGCTGGTTTGTACTCAGGGTCTGTAAAATCTCTAATGGCACATTAAAGCAGCAACTAGAAGATTTATTTGGAAGCCCAAGGCGGAGGAGAATCAGGGATACATTGTCAAAGTGGCATGGGATATACTGTGCAGGCCAAGAGAGGAAGGTGGTTTGACCATTACGGACCCCGAGACTCAGAACCTGGTTCTTCTCTCAAGCTGGTTGTTAAAAGTGACTGAAGCTGAACCAGCTCCGGACTGGTGTTTTCTCGCTGAGAGAATCCTACAGAAAGAGTGGGGACTGAGCAGGTCCTCAGATGTCTGGGTAGCTATGATGATAGATTCATTTCTTAACAAAAGGATCAAGTCCAGATTCTGGTCCAATGTGGTGGCGGCATGGAGAAAAATGAAACCAGATATCATAGCTCAGCCTCAAACAAAAGTGGAAGTATTGAACCAACCACTTTTTGAGAACTACCTAATTTGCGACCACAAAGGGAAGTGTTTCTCAGCGGCTTCAAGTGCTGGCAATTTCGGGCAAAAGTGGGTGCAAAGGGGGGTGGCCGTGATAGGTGATGTGTGGGACACAGTCACCAACCAGTGGCACTCACCTGCGTTTCTTCGGTCTAAATTGGGTCAATTGCCACTCCAAGAAGAAAGAAGAGAGAGCCTCATTAAGGCTATACCAGCAGAATGGAGGAGGCTGCTGGGACCTGAAGGAATTAACCCCCCAGGCACGTGGCTGAAGACAGTAACAAACCAAGAGAACCCAAGTTTCGTCTTACTGAAGAGGTGGCACGAGGATGAGAGTGGTAGATGCATGGTAGAAGAGTACAGTAGGGCTCAAGACCATAGTGATATACTAACTCTGCATAGAACCACCACCAGGCTAGGATTGGGAGACCTGGAAGAAATTCGGGTGAGGGCGGTGAAAATGCAAGGGAGAGGGGAACCGACAGTCTACAAATTGGTTGCAGGAGGGGTGACCAAGAGGAAGATTCGAATTGATCCCTTAGTGTGGGGTTGGAAGGTAGAAAGCGATATAGTCTATGACCTCACTCGACTGTCAACTTCGCTTCTCAGAGCAAGACTAAAGCCTAAAGAGGTGCTATACTCCACACTAATTGAGAGGTGGGAGCGTGCCCAACCAGCATTGCAGCCACCCACAGAGAGAAAACTGACAAGACTTTGGGATCAACTGAGTTACCTGCCATCTCAAAAATTCGCATCTTTATTGTGGCTACAGACGCACGTTGCGGTACCCACCGCTCACTGGCTGGAAAGAAGAGGTCTGAACGTCAATCTGGAATGCGATCTATGCAAATGGCCTTTTGAGACAATGACCCACCTCTGGTGGGACTGTCCAAGATCGTAGAAGTGGTGGAACTGGTGGTTTCAGCACTGGACAAAGATGTCTAGAGATACATCATGCAGGGGAAGTGATTGGGTTGTACATGGTTTCCTGCCAGAACACATACCAACCAAAAAAGGTTGGGGATATATAGCCCAGGTGGGGAGAGCCATCATGATGTGGCTAATTTGGTTGGATAGAAACGGAAGGCGCTTCCAGAATCAAGAATTGGACGAAGTACTTGCAGAGAAGACGTTTAAACCACCAGTACCTGCCGGTTGTTAAGGCCCGTGGCTCAGACTACCGGTAGGCCGGTCGTTCCCGAGCCTCGGACTTTAGTGCCGAGCCTCGGACAACTGGTAGGACA